AAAGGAGAAAAGGTTAACTCAGACAAAGTAACATCAACAAGAGCACTGACCCAGCAAAGCTTTGGAGCATGCTCACAAGACAGGGGCATCATGTGATGAAAGCAAAGGTAAAGGGTAGGATCAGGACAAGAAGTCTGAGACCAGATTTTGTATAATTTGGAAATTTATCTGTAGTCTGTAGGGAGGTCTACTGAGGATTTATGTGCTTGCTACTGTGGTAATAATTCTTTAGAAAGGTAATTTTAGTAGCTGATAGAAGGACTGATGGAATGGAGGGATTGAAAGAATGCACTTCATAGGAGACTTAAGATAGTTCTGGCACATGGTCACAAGATCTAGACCCTGGGAGAGAAACAGTAGAAATGAGAAGGGAATACATTCCAGAGAGAATCAACTCAAGTTGGTCTTGGAAAAATAATGGTACCTAAGAAATGTAAAAGACAGCATAAAAAGTTTGTGTCTCAACCACTAGAGGCTGGGAAACATCTTAAACTGAAATTTAGAAACTAAGTTGTTTGAAAAGTCTACTGTGATGCATACAAATATTTATGTACACATACCAATGCACACACACTTCATATATATAGTGAGAACACCTGAAATAAAGATCTAGAAAATAGAAGTTAAAACCAAGAGATAACTTGAGACTTGACTATGGAAGCAGTAGGCAATTTATTGTTTAGTTTTGTTAAATTTTGTCTTAGTTTTTATTAAACAGTTACATATATATATATATATATGTAAATTTAAAATAGAACCTTTTTCTCAAAGTACTCCCTTAAAGCAGTTTATCCAACTAAATGGCCTGAATTTAAAAAAAAAAAAAATCTGTGTATTTCACCTTAAATGGCTTAAATTACAAAGTTTCCATTTGAGCCAGTTAATAAAAAAAAAAAAACTTTGAATTATTCAATCCTTGAAGAGTTTTTTAAGTATGTGACAAGAGAAATGAAGATGAACATTTTTAATTCCTTCACATACGTTAAAAGATTAGACAGCAAGCTACAATTTTCCTGTTTTGTACAATCTTCTATTCTTAGTCACTTCTGAATTGACAGTTCGAAGAAATAAATCCTCTGTATCCCAAAGGACTTCCTAGAATTATATGTTAATGATTAGAACATGAATCTTGAAAAGCTTATCATGTATTTTCAAGGAAGAATGTTCACAGATGGTTAACAAAGAAAAAAACAGGAAAAATCAGTCCATTTAAGCTCTGGACCTGCTCATCAGTAAGAGGAAGTTGTACCTCACAGTCCTTAAGTGGCTTCTAGCAATACAGCGCTACAATTTATTCATAGTGGATACGGAGTATCCATCATCTGCAAAGAACTATGCTACAAAGATTAGATTGTACCTGCACTTGAGAGGAACAGCTACTAGTCCCTTTTATTTCTCTTCAAACTCTTCAGTCTGTGAGATGGTAAATAAGCCAACTGTTGGGACTTAGCCTCCATTTCCACAGGCATTGTTCAAACCTGCACTGTCCAGTACTACAAATACTAGCCATGTGTGACGATTAATCACTTAAAATGTGGCTGTAGTGTGAATGGAGAAGTGATAAAAGTGTAAAATACACAATGGCTATCAAAGATTTAACATGAAAAGCAAAATGCAAAATACCACAATAATCCTTGATATACCGGATTACACGTTAAAGTAATAGACTGGGTTTAAACATTTAAATTAATTGTTTTTTATTCAGTAAAATTTGGCTATAGAAAAATCATTTAGGTGGTTCACATTACATTTGTATTGGTCTAAACTCTTAAGGACCACATACACAGATTACCAGGACCTCTCTTCATAGCCTTGGTTGTAAAAAGCAGAGTAGTCATCAAGTGTTCACATCACTCTTGCAGTTCCCCTTTTCTTGCTAATTCTGTCTGGCCAATCATCTACCTTCATTATTATTTGAAACCGTATCCTTCACTGTGAGGGTTAGCAGTGATATTTATCAGATTCTGGATTTTGGATAGGGAAGCGAAATGGGATTCTGTTCAAAGCCTTTTTCCAACTTTGAAACAGACACATCATCACATGGAGAAATACAGCACTTCCAGACTAATGAATAGGACATGAAAATGCCTCCAAACTCCCAAGCCAGTGACTAGACTCTTCACAAGTTCTCTTTCCTTCTCACTACGTTTAAAACAAGATAACTTTGCTTAGCCTATGTGTAATTACTGTTACTGAATTTCTGCTGTCCATCCTTGATTCCTGTCAATCACAGAACTACTCAAGCAGGGAGCCACAACCAGAAAATTGAAGTAGCCATTAGCTTTATAACTAGTCATAAGCTTTAAGACAGAAAAATGGAAGTCGGGGCAGCCCCGGGGGCGTAGCGGTTTAGCGCCGCCTGCAGCCCAGGGTGTGATCCTGGAGACGGGGGATCGAGTCCCAGGTCGGGCTCCCTGCATGGAGCCTGCTTCTCCCTCTGCCTGTGTCTCTGCCTTTCTCTGTGTGTCTCTCATGAATAAATACAATCATATATATATATTAAAAAAAAGAAAAATGGAAGTCTTTATAATTCCCTTACACAATAAGAAGCATTTTTAAAAGGAATATAATCTTACTTCTCTATTTGTCTATATCATTCTTTCAGAAAAACCTGATTTTGTTAAGAGGCTTATTAAAAAAACCACTCATGAAACAACTTGTACAAAGAATCTGTAAAACTTTACTAGATCTGGATAATAAAATATAGAGAAGAGCAACAATGAAACAAGGGTATTTTGAGGCCAGTATAAATATATATGCATGTATAAAATGAGCTAGATAGTTGAAAATAGCTTGTCAAAAAATACCATCAGGATAACACCCTTTTAGGTTTTAGAAATCCTCTTTTTACATACATTTCTGTTTTAGTCTTGTTTTATTAATAGGTGATTTTGATTAGAATTTGATTTTCTAATAGATTAATATTGATACTGAAATTTGATATTTTAAGCAAACTATTTTAAAATAGAAAGGCACTTCAGGAATCAGTCTTATATCCTTGTTTTATAGATGAGTTTTATGTGATTAAGGCCAAAGTCACATAGCTAGGAAGTGACAAAGGAAGACTGAACCCATGTATGTTGACTCTAGGTTCAGCTTGTTCCCGTTTAGTCTTCTTTAACTGGCTTAAGAAAAATAAATTCAGATCTATACAAAAGACTATGTGATCAGCACTATTAATGCCCTGGTTCTATTTACTGGAGTGAAAGAATTTTAGTAATATGAATAGGAAATGTGAAGACTGATAGGTAGAGAGAGGTGGGCTGAGTGCTGAAGATACTAAAAAAAGGCTGGTAGCTATCCAGAGGCTCATATAATTTACTTGACATTTTTAACAGACTCCTTTTTTAGTGAAGGTTGTTAAGGAGAAAGAAATCTGGAGCAGGGTCTGGGTCTGTTACTCTCTTCGGTTTGATCAAGAATAAAAATATTTATTATTTTATTTGAAGGTACTGAATATTCTAATAAATGTACCACAGAGGAATGGAAGATTTTGACTTGAGTAAGTTATGTGTAAACTGTATCTTTGGAAGTAATCTAATTATGGGTAATAGTAAGACATCACTATAGATTTTGCTCAGTATTGATGGGGACCAAGATAGTAACTGAAATATATTACTATGAATTGCTCATTTCTCAAAAGTTTCTAAGTTATCTCTAACAGAAGCAACAGAAGTCCTATTTCTGCTTTTTAAGGGAACATATATTATTTTGCATCTTTCGAGATTTTTTTTCCTGTTCAAGTCTTTCTTATTAACCTATTATGTGTCAGGTACTCTTCTGAGTTCTAGGTGTCTAAATATCAGTAATGCCTATAGTAGGCTTTAAACTCCAGCTAAAACAAGTGGAAGCAAACATATCCCGAGAATACTTTGATATATTAATCGTATCCAGTAAACTGCTAGAGAGGACTCAGTTAAACATACACTTCTCTGGGAGATGTAGCTGGAAAGCTTAAGAGGACATCTTTAAGAACACTTTAAATACTGAAAACAACTCTCATACCAGTCACAACTTTAAACTTTCATCAGTATCAAGGATTAGGTAACAGCCATCTGAACAGGATACAGTATAGGTAAGAAGAGTGTCAAAGATAAAAATTTTACTTCAAATGTGCTTTACGTTATCCTTGGTTATTCATCAAATCATGGGGATTTTTAGCACAGTACCATTCTTTGTCAGTTACGATTACAGATGATCTTACCTTCAGTTTAAAATGAAAAACAAAGAAAAGGCAAAGAATAAATTAAATATATGCGAAGTCTAGGACTTTGAAGATAGAAGATGAGCAAAATCACAGGACTTGTAACAGAAGCACATTAATACATTTTTTCCTGATTCCTAAACTGGACACTGGTAATAGGGATGGACTAAGACAAGCAAAGAAAATTATTCATTCTCTCTTTTACTCAAGACAAGAGCATTCCCCAGAGTAGAATCAAAAGATAAATGTTCTTTGGTTTATGAGGACTTCAGAAGAGAACTTAACCTTCATTAAGTAATTTATAATGAAAGAGTTCAGCTTTTTCTGTCAACTAAAAAAAATTAATGGATCAGAGCATCACCTATGTACATCTAGAAGCAAAAATTTGTGATTAAAAATGGTTTTAAAATATCTCTAACATGTTTACATACCCAAATAATTTGTTACTAATATTTCACAAGGAATATAATTTTATTACTGTAATCACAAAATCATAATTTCTGTACAGGAATGTATAAGTGATCATTAATCAATGCATTGATAATTCACTTCATAAAGAGGGCGAACACACTACAGAATGTAAAGAAAAAAATATTGTAAAATTTTCTGGCCTTGCAGCGCACTTTTTAGTGCAAGTATTTAAGACACAATAGTGTTCAATTCAGCAAAGTATTGCAGAATGTCATGCCACAGTCCGCTTAATTCAAAGAGGGTCAGGACATGCAGCTTGTAATAAAATGTCAGAGTATATATATATACACATATATATGTATATAAAAAAACCACATGTAATCCATAAAATATAGAGTGGTTTATTTAGATGATTTTAAATGATTTCACTGTGGAATTCAGCATAACTGGAACAAACATCCAAGATCTTCATAACAGAAATCTTCTTGCTAGGCAATGGCTTTGGCTTCAGGCAGGAATGCCTCCCAGTATTTTATCAGCTGTGGATCATAACCAAAGATATTCTAATTATCTTTTTGCCATTTATATGCATTCATTCTGTATAGTCTTTATGAGTAGCTAACAATGATTAATATTTACTAAAGTCTAGTTCTAAGAGGAAAAATTTTAATTTCCCTACCTGAAGTCTGTCAATATAATTCATGTATAAATTACTTAAGATGTTAATTACTACTAGCTAATTCCAGTTTTTGAGGTAAATTTTTTAAAAACCTTAAAACTTAAGATTTTCTTTGTTTATGCAAAATTACATATAGAAACAGATTGTTAATGCAAATTAAATGAGACTATCTTAAATAATAAACTGCAATGAACTTTTCCAATATAAAGTTATAACATATCCTAATTTCAGAAAATATTCACATTTTATGTTACTCTAGCCAAAAACCATGAAAAAAGGAGGAAGAAAACATTAGGCAAAAAATGGACATGTAGTCTTCTTTTGAGAGTGGAAGGAATTAACTGCCAGTGTTTCTTCTGTATTCCATAAAATTAATGAAAGTATAAACTAAAGTTACATTTAAAACAATTCCTTTAAAAACAAATTCATATAAATTATTTCATGAAGTATTTAAAGCCTATAATTTGAAGATATGTTATCTCTTTTTTTTAAAAAAAAGATTTTATTTATTCACTAGAGACAGAGAGAGAGAGAGAGAGAGGCAGAGACACAGGCAGAGAGAAGCAGACTCTATACAGGGACCCCGATATGGGACTCGATCCCAGGACCCCAGGATCACGCCCTGGATCAAAAGCAGACACTCAACCATTGAGCCAGACATGTCATCTCTTAATTAAAAAATTAATCTATTTATTATATATTATATAATATTATATAATATTATGTAACTTACATATAAGTTCCTAACCCACATATTTTAAGACAAACTGAAGAAAGAAACCCTTCTTTTCAAGACATTAAATAATTTGATTACTCAAATTATAAATATTTGAGAATAGACAAATATAAATAATTGAGGACATAAATGTAAATATTAAAACATAGTATCTTGTTATAGATTTTAATTAAAATCTATGGTCTTCTGTTTTCTAGTTAGGGAGACAAATGACCCTGTGGGAAACAATCACCACCAACCACATACAAAATAAAACAAAAATCAAAACAATACAAAACCCCCCACTAACCTTAAAAAAGCTAGTTCTGTTACAGAAGAGAATTTACTGTAAGAATTCACTCAAAGAGGTGTGATCACTAGGGAAATAAAACTAGGAAGACAGGAAAAGGGAAAACACTGTTGAGCATGTTTCTCTTTACCTTAATCTGGGAAAAATGTATCTCAACTGGTATTCAGGAATAGAGGCAAAAACCATCTGAGAAGTTCCAATTTAACTACCATATTTTTCTTTGTGGTCACCAGTTTTCTCTACTCCATTTCTTACTCCTCCTTAAGTTTAAAAACTCCTATCGCTGACATCTTTAAAGTGAACCAAAAGTAAGTTCTAGAAGAAGTCTGTAAGTTACAAAATAAGTCATAAAAAAGTTAGCTTACCTGTTGTTGTGTTTGTACTAATGATTCTAAGTACTTGATAATAACAGTTTTAAAATCTTTCACTCGTTCTTTCTGTAGTACAATACATGAAGAAGAAAGCCCATTAGTACAGAACTAAATCTGATTTTACTACAAAATCACAGCAAAAAATGACCACGGTGTTGGGAAAAGTATAAAATTATACTTACCTCAAATCTTCCCACTTCTTTTCGAATTGTTTTAGAAATCTGTTCAAAATCTCTTTCTCCTTGTTGTACTTTTGCCTCCCACTAACAGAAACAAACAAAAACACACACATTTTTAATTCCTGCAAGGAAAGTATTATAGAACTAGCTGTCACAATCACTCATTTAATTTAAAGTAACATCTGTAAAACCCGAGGAAGCTCAATATTTGCAAATATCAATTTAGGATCTCATTCAAACTTTTATCTAACTTTTCAGTACTAGAAACTCTTATCAGCTTAATTTGCATTAATATTTCATTGTAAGATATACTCAAGATTAGGATATTCTAATACTTAATCAATTACAACCTCCATAGTTTAATTAAATACAACTAAGACAGTGAAAAGATTTTGAGTAGAAAATTCACTGTCAAACAATTTAACAGTGTTGGGGTAGCTTTATCATTTCTTTTTGATATCATCAATTATTCCACAGTGAATCAACAACATTCTACCAAGTTCAGGAATACATGTTCACCACATTTATATGCCCATGGAAATACTTTAAGAAAACTATTCAACAAACATTTAAAAACATTTTTTAATACTATAATGTTTGAATTTTTAAAAATGTGGAATTACGGTCTACTGAAGACTTACTGGTAAACATTAAGTTCAGTACAGAAACGACAAAACATTATGATTAGTGATCAATGGAGCAGCTAAAATAAAATAACTGAAGACTTAAAGCAATGAAATGATATTTTCCCACTATGTAACCAAAACAGTGGTACATACTCTTCAAAGAGCAGGTACATTTACTTTTAGTAATATAAAGGTTGTCCTACCTCTTCAATTTCCTTATTGAAGCATGGCAAAAAAAGTGTATAAATTATAATAAACTTATACAAATTTACTAAAATACCATATATAGTACATATATATGGGGGATAATGTTGCTTGAAAAGCTAAATGTGGGGCAAGTCTATGCTCTAAAACTATTTTCAGACATAAAATAATAATTTGAAATCAAATTAACCATCTCAAAAGAACTGTGTAATTATTAATTAAAGGTTAATTTAAATCTTTTCCTTGTGTGCTTCTTTAACCATTCCATAATCATGTGAAACAAACAAAGGGCTCTGGAGATTTTAATGATGATCAAAATGTTGAAGTAAGTCTAACATAGTTCATAAAACTATGGAAAAATGGCTAGCGTTGATGGTTCAGAAAAAAACTTATGAAAAATTATGCATATATGAATGACTCATGGAAAATTTTGAGTAAAGCGATAAGTAAAGCATTTTATATTAATCACCTCTCTTATTTCATTTTTAGCTTGCTGTATTTTATCTGGTTTGTTAGCAACCATCATTTTTGCCTCAGTTTCACGTTTTTTGAGCAAAGTAATTTGAGCATCTTCCCATTTCTGCCAGCACTTCATTCGATGGTCAAACACACCCTATAAGTGAATGACATAATGCTAGTAAGTGACAACACTGATATAATTTCAAAATACCAGAAGTGCTGTGATACTGAAAACGAACACACACACACACAAAAAAACAAGTATTTTACACACTATTATCATATATTGGCATAATGAAAATAAACATGTCGATACAGAAGAAAAACATCCATATTCATTTGCTTAAAAAAAAAAGAAAAGCCCCTGGACAAATCAGAACAGTTCTGAATAAACCAACAGACAAAAATTACATACAAGATGGATTTCACTAGACTTCTGGGTTTTAGATTTTACTTATAATAAGATTTCTAACAGAGTTCTATGCTTTGAAGAAAGATTTCTTTAATAGGAAAAAAATCTGGTATCATAAGTTTTCCTACCAAATAGTATCAGAAGCAGATTTGAATGTTGGAAATAGGCCAGAAATTGCAAAAATAAAATGAGGAAAAACTTGTAAGACAACAGGAAGTGAAGAAAAATGTGGAAAAGAAGACCAACAGCAAATAAAACAAAGGCAAAGCAATTAAAAAGTAAAGGCATAACACAATTCAAAAAAAAAAAGAAAAAAGAAAAAAGGAGAAAGAATTCTATACAAAATCAACAGGGCAAATGGGTAGAGATGCACTTGTGCGCATACAAGTGGGTATATGTATGTGTCAATATAAACATAAATATATCTGTAACAAACACACACACCACACCTATCTAGGAGGCAAGAACAAAGTACTGGACAAGAAGACCACTATAGACCAAGTCAACCAAAACCACTAGTTCTTTCATGGGGTTTGGAAAAGCAAGAGCAGGTTGATGGAAGAAAGAAATGAAATATAAACATGAGAGTAATTAAAATCTCAGGAAAAAAGGGGATGGACAGGATGAAAGAAATCCAACAGTAATTCCTTTCCTAATCTGATGCTGGGGATATATTCATATTATGTTAGTATTACTAACTGAACACATGAAGTAAGTCTTAGTAAACAGGGTGAACCAGAAAGCACTAAACCCGAGTTATTTTCATTACTCCAAACAGAACTTTTTGGATCAAGAAACAGTAAATAAATACATGTTATAGGAACTTGCTGAACAGAAAAGTATGTAGATAATTTATTTTAAAAATGTGGGATTTTGGATCCCTGGGTGGCGCAGCGGTTTGGCGCCTGCCTTTGGCCCGGGGCGCGATCCTGGAGACCCGGGATCGAATCCCACGTCAGGCTCCTGGTGCATGGAGCCTGCTTCTCCCTCTGCCTGTGTCTCTGCCTCTCTCTCTCACTGTGTGCCTATCATAAATAAATAAAAATAAAATTTAAAAAAAAAAAAAAAAATGTGGGATTTTGGGGTGCCTGAGTGGCTCAGTTGGGTAAGCATCTGCCTTCAGCTCAGGTCATGATCCCAGGGTCCTGGGCTCCCCGCTCAGCAGGGAGTTTGCTTCTTCCTCTCTCTCTAATATATAAATAAAATCTTTTTAAAAATGTAGGCTTTGGAACTAATCAAATTTGGATTCAAATATAGCTTTGTCATTCTATGATCCTGGGTAACTTAATTTCTATAAGCCATTGTTTTCCCAAATATAAAAGGAAGAAAATAAGATCTATATTAGTGGATTGGAAATAAAATGAAAAAATTTAGCACAGTGACTGAACCTAGTGGATGTTTAACAATTAGTAAGTATTATTATGGATTACTTCTAAACATACACCTATAAATTACGAGTTGATTAACTCTACATTTTTACTAAAAGTGCAAACAGTAACAACTCAGTAACATGGAAAAAATCATAATCAGACTGCATTCATATTACATATCCTTGCCCCTCACCCCTTACAAACACCACCAAAAAATAAGATTTATATTCCTAATCTTTAGGGGAAGAAAGCCATATCAGCTCCTTGTTTATAAACTCCACCGTTTAATAACAATTTAATTATTTAAAATACGTACCAGTACAGGGCAAAAGCTAGCCAAAATGCCCTTTAATTTCAATATTTGCTAAAGTTCTCAATACATATATAAATTTGTGGTTTTTTTGGTGATAAACTAATTTGTCCCTGTCCAATTTATTATCTCATAAGATTCCAAAACCATCACATGTATATTATGGCAAAGATGTAGGAGGTATAAAATAAAGGTAAGGGGGATCCGTGAGTGGCTCAGGGGTTTGGTGCCTGCCTTCAGCTCAGGGCGTCATCCTAGAGACTCAGGATGGAGTCCCACATCAGGCTCCTCGCATGGAGCCTGCTTCTCTCTCAGCCTGTTATCTCTGCCCCTCTCTCTTTCTGTTATCTCTCATGAATAAATAAATAAAATCTTTAAAAAAAAAATAAAGGTAAAACTACTAAAGTCAGGTTAATTTCTGAAAGAAAAAAAATCTCAGCTCTGTAAGAAATAATTTTTTCATTTGTTTTCCTACCCTTGGACCACAAAAAGGGAAAAAAGAATCAAAATCATACTCCATCTAAAAATGCTACCCTAAAGATCAATTAAATCACAACTGTATGTTAAGATGCTAGCCTGTTCTAGTAGACCAGCCTCTCCTATAATAGGGGCAGATTTACACTGATGATCTACTTTGGACTTCCATCCCTCTGCCAATTTATGTTACACATATGTATGCAAACTGGTTTAGCTTAGACAAGGCTGCAGTTGTGGAACATTTTTCCTGGCCCATCAAAACACTGCAATTGTAATTTTAATTAATATCACATTCCAATTTAGTGACTCTGGAAGTATGCTGCTCAGCTTCCTGGAGTTCTGAAAGGGTGCTAATTACTTACAGTCGAACAATGAAGCTTTTCAACTCCTTGGGGAACCCATCTACTAACTGGTTCAAAAAATATTTGATATGTTTTATAAATTTATATTCCCTGAGAAAATATTTTATCAAGAGTGCTAGTGCTAAACACATTGAAAACCTTTATCTCCAATCCCTGACCCTACTCTAGTGGTTCAAAAGGCCAATTTATGAGAATGCACGCAATGAGTTTACTATATAATATGTTAGAGAACAGTGCTAGCCAAAATATGGAGTCCTAGATGTGAGAGGTCATGCACTGGACAAAGAAAGGAGTTTCCTGGATATGAGGCCAGGCCTAGGTAATATTATAGATGGTTGAAATTCATCCTTCTTTAGGGCCCAAATTTCAATTGGTCATAGTTCCTTTCCCACTTTGGTTCTGTACTCTAATTCTCAAGTACTCTTAGTTTCAAATTTATCATCAGAAAACTATTTTTGGGAAGCCTAGGTGGCACAATTGGCTAAGCATCTGACTCTTGGTTTCAGCTCAGCTCATGATCTCAGGGTCGTGAGATGGAGCCCTGCATCAGGATCTGCGCTCTGCAAGTAGTTGGCTAGAGTTTCTCTCTCCCTCTTTCTCTATTCCCACCCCCTCACTGTGCTTGGATGCACAAGCTCTCTCAAATAAACAAATACTTTTTTAAAAGGAAAGTATTTTCAATATGGATAAAAACAAAGGGCTAAGTAGTATTAAATAGCTATTAGGAATATATAAGAGAAAACACAAAATAAAATTGGGCAAAGGACATGAAGAGTTCACACACACACAAAAAGAAATACAAACGGCTCATCATCCATACAGATGCTTAAATTCACACTAACTAAAGAAATTTATACAAAAAAATACCTTCATCATTGGGTGGGAGAAGAAGGAACAAGCATGTTGATGGGAGTATAAGAATAATAATCTCTTTGAACAGTAATATGAATATATTTTTTGAAATTTAAAAAATTCAGGTGGCCAGGTGACTCCACTTCTATGAATTTTATGCCCAAAGAGTTATTTTCAAAAACCAGTATTTACAACTAGACTGATTAAATAATTTAGGGTATTTTTATAGGCTATCTAACAGAATACTATGCAAACATTAAAAAGAACATATCTATATATGCTAACATGGATACCTCTCTAAAATATAATGGGTGAAAAAAGTAGGCAAAGAATAGTGCACATAATATGTTCCTTCGTCAAGAAGGAAGACATGGAGGGAAGGAGGAAGAAAGAGAAAGATGGGAAGAATAAAACAGAAAATCAGCTTCATACACGTGGCACAGCTGATTCTGTAAAGACACACAAGAACGTAATAGCATAAGAAGTACTAAGTAGTCTTTGGTAGAGAAGAACTTAACCTTTTTGGGCTGTAGGACTGATGATGTCCAAGTATCACTTTTTCTAATACAAATGAATCAGTTTAAAACAAAAACCAAACTGAATATCAAGATCATAAAAATTCCCTGTCATGCTACCCCCTAATTTCTCAACTCCTCCTTGGTGTGGCTGACCTCGGTCAGGTTTCAGCAGAAAACACAAAGCCAACGTGAAAGAGCTTCATCTACGTCAAGCTCTAACTTGAGCAAAGCTCTTTAAATCTCTTGAAGTCAATGAATCACTAATTCAGTTCTTCCCAAAGTCTGTTCCATTTATGTAAAAAGATATTAAGAGGAAAAGAACTCCTGTTCCTATGAATTTGGAAGTCTCTGAATTAAACAAATTTAAATGTTTTATTTTATTTTTTTACTCATAGTTCTGAGCATTTCAATGTTCCATGACTCTATAAAACAGGGATATTGTACAAAATATTATCTCCCAAACTCAGCTGGTTGTGATACCTCTTTCAGTATCACTTCATTCTGGGAAACATGAATCCAAGTACAATTTCTGAGAATGTAAAAATCCAGCAGGAAGATTTAAGTAGCATGAGGCCGGCCAGCCCACGTGAGAGCTCACCACCCAGGACACTAGCAGGCCGTTCCTGCCAGGGACTGTCCTCCCAGGTTAGCTCTTCTCAGCTGGTACTGCTCCTCACAGATACTGCCCAGCTTCCCTTTGTGGACCCACAGTTATTTTGCAAAGTGCTCTACTTTTTTATAGCAGCCCTCATGCTAGTGGGAATTCTGAAATGAGGTTGAGAGTGGGTGGGAGAGAAGCAGGAACCATTAATTGTGAACTGGATTTCTGTTTATCACAAGTTGCCTGATATATAATGAGTAACTGCTATATATATTAATTTCTTTAAATAATTAAAGAGAAAATTTAACTAAAGAAGGAATTTAAAGAGTAACACCTAAGAGCAGATACAGACAAAACTGGTAATTTTTCCAAACCCAAGATAGCAACATCCGAAGTACTAAGAATCCTCTAGCCATAATTGCCATGGTCAGCTTGAGAACAGGATCATAAATAAATATGCAGTATACCAATGAGTGTAGATGAATACTGATTTCATCATAGACTTTAGCTGAAAAAAATTTTGCTTAAGAAAGCAAAGAACAAGGTCTCATTAACTTTCAGTAAAAGGTAAACTCCCAGTTCTTCCGCCCTATGACAATTCTTGCTCATAACAATAACTGAAAAACACCTAAGATCTTAAAGTACCTTCTGAAACACTGGATAGATAAAATAATACTTAGTTTAACTGTTGGAATACTGGAGATAATAACCTGTAGAATACCAACTGTCATTTGCTAACTTGATTACTTTCCTAACTATTCAGAAACTCAACTGTTTATCCTTAAACATTACCACTAGATAACACAATTTATTATCTAGTCTCATTTGATCTATAAATAGTGACTACATATTTCAGTGTATGCACAGAATGTTTGCTTATAGTCCAAATGCAGGCTAAAAGCCACCATTAAACATACTCATGCAACCATCAGCTCTATTTTTGTTCTGCTTCTGTTATACCTTTACTAATGGTAACAGAGGCCAGGCTAGTTTCAGTTCATGTTAGATGAACAATAAATGCTACCAGTCGGTTGTAAACTTGTATATGTCAACACAGAAGTGAATGTGTGCTGGTTTTATCTTGTTTGGCACTTCTTAGACCTCTTAAAAACATTAATTTTATCTACTGTTCAAGTCATAGTGGAAGAAAATATTAGGCTATAAGTCATCATCTTGATGTCATTTTATATGGACTGGTAGAATAAAGAACTTACACACTTAAATACATGCCTTCTAGCTAACCAAATTCTTCTAGAAGCAAACCACAGAAGTGAGATGATCTGAAGGAAGACTGCAAAATAAGGCTTACTTTCACTGCAGCAATAAGACGAATGTAGTCACTAAGTAGTTCTGAAAACATATAAAAGTCAGCAAAAGCTTGTTCTTGATGTAACTGGTCTATCTTCTCCTCCACCTCTGCAAGCTGAGACAAAGCTCTAGATAAAGCAGTATGGTCCTCAGAGTTACCTAACATGGCAGCACTTTTAGCAAAGGCAGCTGTGTTGGCCGAAAGTTCTGAAACAAAAAAGGATTCATTTTTAGTATTCACTAGTAAAGTTTTTAAATATTGCAATGATTTTTTTTTCTTTTTTTTTTTTTGCAATGATTTTTCTACATTCCCTCTAAATTGTATCAATTAGTGTATCGCTCAAATAATTGTTTTAAAATAATTAATATAAAATCACCAGCCATTAAAATGCCTTTGGCATAAATGCCAATTGCTCAGAGCTCTACTGAAAGTTAAAAAGAACATTAAAGAAAAATTATGAAGAACCACTGCCTATATTCCCAGGGGAGGAACTATGTTTAATAATTTAATATAATAATCTGCCTCCTCTTTCTTCCTAAAGTGCTCATTGCTTTTGTGTATTCCTGCAGAAGATAAAAGATATGTTTTTTTAATATGGAAAGCAATGAGAATACAATGGATTTATACTACATTTTTTGGCCTTCAAACATTTAAATGAAATGGAAAATGTCTATAACTTTTAATGAATATATTATTTAGCTAATAAGAAAAAGCCAGGTAAAATACACACAATTCATAAAAATCTTATTCTTTTTTCTTTGCATACAATGCTTTAACAATGCTCAACTGAAATACCAAAAATTTCTAAAAGAGATTTTTGAACAGTATCATTTCTGATACTTCGAATAAAGAAAAACAGATGTTTACAGAATAGATAATGTCAATGACTAATAATATATTGCCTAGAAACTGTGCTACATTACAAAAAATTCTCTAAGAACCATAAGGCTATTCCCTAAAAGATACAGTACAAATGGCAAGAGCTGTTATAAACTACTTTCAATAATGAATGTATTGGTTTATTTCTGTAACTGTTTTACTGAAACGGATTACTGGTAATGGCACATACTAAATGGCTTACTTACGTATTTTAGAAACCTAACATTAAAATCCTTGTATTCTTAAAAAACACTAAAATTCTCATGATAGAATTAAAAATTATAACTTAAATTTTCTGTCAATTTTTAACAAACCTCCTCCCTTCAGACTTTTAAATATGGTTGTTCAAAAATGAAGAAAATAACTCAAGAGATTTCTATGAAATACAGGTACACATTTTTTTAAAGATAAATTTCAAGTATCAAATTTTTAATGTTATCTTAATTATATCAGTTACTAATAAGACATCTTCATTCATTAAACTGTAATGTTCATTTTAATAAAATTTAAATAAAATAGTTGAATTAACTTATGGTGTTAAACAAATAAATAATAAGGCAAACAAACCTTTTCTATGACAGACCAAGGCTTCGACACTAGCATGAAGTTTCCTAAGTTGCTGATCCAGATTTTCAAATTGCTGCTGCTTTTCTTCAAACCACTAAGAAAAAAAATGAAAAATGGAGCTAATTTAGCAAGAACAAACCACTGTAAATTAGGTTACCAATAGCAAGGCACATTCCTTGTTTTAAAGCAACAAATTAACCATGTATAACCATGGTAGTCAACTGATGTGGCTGAGAACTAAACTCAATAAGCAAATTAATATCCTATTTTCTACTTGTACAGCTTTAAAATGCAATTGTTGGGCTCATTAATTCATCTCATTATTCAAGTCGAAAAATCAGCTCTTACTGCATCCGATTCATTCATCTTGATTGTCATTTTGTTGACAGCGTCGGCAGCCTTGTTCACCATCCTCAATATTCCTGCTCCACTCAGAGCCTGTGTGTTAACTGCTCTAGGCAGCTGGAATTGAATGACAAATAAGGGCAAACAAACCGGTTAAAAGCCTGGAGGTTTAACTGGGCACAAAAGGGACTGCACACCCCCACGAAAAAAACGAAAAAAAAGAAAAAAAGGAGGTTGTATTTTCTTCACTCTCATACATTTCAATAGTGAGATCTAATTTCTCAAACACACTACTTGTACACTCTCAAAGGAAAACTTAAAAAATAGACTTTCCATTTGCTTTTCTTCTGCACGTTTACATTTAGATGGAACAACACTCTGTTTGTCAAAATATATTAAGAAATTGCCAGGTACCTTAACATTGGCCACCTGTTTGCTTGCAGAAATAAACTTGTTTATAAGGGAAGAAGAACAAAGTCTTAAGAAAAATCTCCTTATGCTGTTAAGACAGTGTGATTCCATATTTTTCAAAAACTCTGGATTCAAATAATTTTTTTTAAAGTTCAAAGGGTAATAATTAAAACTCTAAACTGTTATGAGCCCCAAATGTACCAAACATCTCAAATAGAAAGAGTAGCACAGTTAGAATTTAAGCTCGTTTAAGCGACAAGTTTGCATTTCAGAACCTTGGTAAGAATATAGAATGTAGACATACAAACTGTGTTGAGTTGTCTCCAAAAGGAGGCCCAAATAAACTTATTTCAACACGATGCCTAAAGCAACAACTTAGGCACTGAAAGTCATTCTTCAAAATGTGGTTTAAAATTTTTGAAAAAGATACTGATCATTCCACAGTTATCAATGCAAAGAAGATAATTTGCTAGTAATTTATTTTTTATTTTTTTAAAGATTTTATTTATTTATTCAGGAGAAACACACAGAGAGAGAGAGAGAGGCAGAGACTCAGGCAGAAGGAGAAGCAGGCTCCATGCAGGGAGCCCAACATGGGACTCGATCCCAGGTCTCCAGAATCAGGCTCTGGGCTGCAGGCGGCGCTAAACTGCTGCGCCACCCGGGATGCCCAATTTGCTAGTACTTTAAATAATTAAAACTAAACACTAAGCCAAAAAAATCATTTCATTCCATTTACTAATACAACTATTTACTGAACATATATTTTTATAAAAATTATTAAAATGACAAACACAAATAAGGAGAACATTCATATCCTATAAAAATTTAAAGTAAAAATAATACCTCTGAACTTTCCAGGAATTGCCTTAAATCAGGATCCTGTAGTAAAGTTGGATGCTTCACTGTTCTTTGAAGATACCTACATTTAAGAATAAAATTTATCCTTTATCAATACCATTTATTTTAAATCTTAATTCAACAGAAAAATAAAAATAAAGAGTAATAAAAACTAGGTAAAATGATGTCTTCTGTCCGCCTTCACTTTAATTATTTAGACTCTTATAGCAATGTTTAGACTCTTTAAAGCTTTTTATCTTTTATAAATTCATAATTATGTAAAAAAAAATGGTAGGTCATGAAAGTAGGGACATAGGAGAGGTTAAATAACTTACCAAATCTCATACTGCAAAGTATTAGAGTTGTAAAAGGAAATATGAGTTTGGCGCATAATTTTATCTTTGGGTGGAGTCACCATGTTCCCAGCTATTATTTCAGAGTCCCAACACACATATCACTGTAAATATTCCAATCAACTATTTGTTGTTACTCCTATTACCAAAAAGGAGAAGTCTACCAGTTTTTTTTGTCAACAGATTTAAATGATCAAATCAGCTTTGATCCTTATTTGACACAGCAGCTAAATTTTCTTTAAAATTCTATTTTAAAAAAGATTTTGCTAAAGGTTCATATTTTTTTTTAAAAAAAAAAGATTATTTATTTATTTATGAGAGACACAGAAAGAGAGAGAAGCAGAGACACAGGCAGAGGGAGAAGTAGGCTCTATGCAGGAAGCCGACATGGGACTTGATCCCGGGGCCCCCAGGATCAGGCCCTGGGCCGAAGGCGGTGCTAAACTGCTGAGCCACCTAGGCTGCCCCATATTTTTCTTATATGACACCACATAAAATAAAAATGAGAAGTAAAGAGAAACACTATTATTAATCACTATTAGCCCAACTTCAGTTGTTTGCCTTTAGGAGAAAATAGGAAAGCCCAAATTTCCATCACTTATAAAAAATTAACAAGAAAAAAGGCCCACTATTTAATGATTATTGATTACTTATCTAATCCCATTTTTCAAAAAAACTGTACTTTGCTTATTGATTACATGTGTATTTTGATTATTTTACTGTATTTCAGTTAATATACCTTTATCCTATTTTTGCAGAATAAATGTAACCAGTAATTTCTTCTACCTCATTATAAGATTATAAAATATGCCTAAAGTTTCTGAAAACAATGGTAACCTTTCATTAACTTAAATTCTTTTCAATGGTTAAGATGATTAATTTATCATGGCTTACATATTAACTTCTGTTTTTATGTATTTAAATAAATTAAACTTCAAGTCATTAGCCCACATAAGAAAACATTACCACAGAAATAGAGCATTTAATAGATGGTGCAAAACAACTACACTGTGGTTTAAGAAAATATATACTGCCTATATTACCAAGCTAAAAACAAGATGCAACACGAACACTAAGTCTGTGTTAAAGAAATGTTGGTATCTTCCCACTGGAATTGTACTTAAAATTTTAACACTCACGTTCTCCAATACCGTCAGGCTGTGTACTGCCGAGAGCAGTTTGCATAAGTTGTTCATGAAAGACAAAACATGTCATACCCAAACTTCAAAACATCCCAGTATTTCAAACCTAAATGTATTTACCTAACACCGCTTACATTTTTTTTTAATTTTTTAAAAAGATTTTATTTACTTATTTATGAGAGACACACAGAGAAAAACAGAGACAGACCTAGGCAGAGGGAAAAGCAGGCTCCATGCAGGAAGCCCGATGTGGGACTCCATCCCAGAACTCTGGGATCCCAGGTGTCCCATACCACTTACATTCTAAACAACTTCCCAAAGTGAGTTCTGTAGAATACTAGTCTCATGCAATATTCCAGGAAAAAGGATGGTTCTACAACCAAAAAGTCTAAAATATATTGCATACATATTTCTGAGTCATAATGAACAGCAGCCTATTAAGCACTGTTGCCCTGCAGGAAAGAAACCTGGTTTAACTTTGTTAAACCTTATGTTAAGAAGACTCCACTGTCTACAGTCTACAGACTTTCCTTTTCTCACCCTACCACATACTAGGATTCGGAGGAATCATTCTGGAAAACAGTATTCTAGAAAAAGACAGTAAAACTTTACTTCTTAAGGCTTATACAGAAGTAAATGGCAATCAACCATTTCTTTAAAACTATTAAATTGGGATGCCTGAGTGGCTCAGTGGTTGAGCGTCTGTCTGCTCAGGGTGTGATCCTGGAGTCCCAGGATCGAGTCCCACATCAGGTTCTTTGTGTGGAGCCTGCTTCTTCCTCTGCCTGTGTCTGTCTCTCTTTCTCTCTGTCATGAATAAATAAAATCTTAAAAAGAAATAAAAAAATTAAATAAAACTACTAAATTTAGATAATGGTAAAATTATAATCAGAAAACTAAAAGATTTTTTGTTCCATAGGATAATTATCTTTTAATGTTTTTTTCTAAGAGTGTGAGTAGGTACACACACAAACTCACAGGTACTTTGGTTTTCACAAAAATATAACAATTATGCTTGTAGTCATGTATCCTTTTACACACAACAGTATGTTACGGATACCTTTCTGTGGCATTAAATATTATTCTCTAATGCCATTTTTATTTACCACATGAAATTCTAGCATACATATGTAGTATAATGTATTTATTTTTTAATACTACAAAGACCACTACTTGCTTTCTTATCATTTGCAAAGTACTATCACATTCAATGGAATTTTATTCTTTAAATTGGTTGTAGGTAATGTCTACTTTGCTTATCTCAATAGCACATTTTATTTTTTATTTTTTAAGATTTTTATTTATTCATGACAGAGAGAGAGAGAGAGAGGCAGAGACACAGGCAGAGGGAGAAGCAGGCTCCACGCAGGGAGCCTGACGTGGGACTTGATCCTGGGTCTCCAGGATCATACCCTGGGACAAAGGTGGCACTAAACCGCTGAGCAACTGGGGCTGACCTCAATAGCACATTTTAAACGAAAATTCCCTTTTGAGTAAGTGGTTTGTGTTTTAAAATCAGAAAATAAAGGAATGGATTTGCATTTTTCCTCCCTTCACATCAATCTTATTTTTCACTTTTTTCATTAGGTTTTTAATCTTAATTCCATTATAGTTAACATACAGTGTTATATTACTTATGTGTACAATATAATGATTCGACAATTCTCTACATTGCTCAGTGCTCATCATGTTAAGTGTCCTCTTTAATTCCCACCACCTATTTCACCCATTCCCCACCAACCTCCCCTCTGTGAATCATCAGTTAGCATACAGTATAATATTAGTTTCAGGTAGACAATTCAGTGATTCAATACTTCCATACTCATCAGGACAAGTACAATGCTTAATTCCCATCACCTACTTAACCCAACAGTCCACCCCCACCCCCTCTGGTATCCATCAGTTTGTTCTCTATAGTTAAGAGTCTGTTTCTTGGTTTGTCTCTCCTCTCCCACCACGTTTGCTTGTTTGTTTTGTTTCTTAAATTCCACATGTAAGTGAAATCAAATGGTATTTGTCTTTCTCTGACTTATTTCACTTAGTGATATACTCTTCAGCTCTATTCATGTTGTTGCAAATGGCAAGATTTCATTCTCTTAATGACTGAGTAATAATCCATTTTACACCCACATCCAATCTTCTTTATCCTGGACACTTGAGCTACTTCCATAATTTGGCTTTTGTAAATAATGCTGCAATAAACATAAGGGTGCATATACTCCTCTGAATTAGTGTTTTTGTATTCTTTGGGTAAATATACTCAATAGTGTGATTCCTGAATCATAGGATAGTTCTTTTTTTAACTTTTTGAGGAACCTCCATACTATTTTCCAGGGTGGTTGTACCAGTTTGCATTCCACCTACAGTGTAAGAGGGCTCCTTTTTCTTCACATTCTTGTCCACACTTGTTTCTTGTGCTTTTGGATGTAGCCATACTGACAGGCATGAGGGGATACCTCAATGTAATTTTAATCTGCAACTATCTGATTATGAGTAACGCTGTAAATATTTGTAAATATTCACCAACTCAGTATTAAGGTCAGAGAGGTTACAGAGATATAAAGGATGGATGCAGAACAAAAAAGGAAAAGAATACAGGAAGCAGACATGAAAAGGGTCATGAAGACAAAGAAACACTTGAAGGAAGAGAGAAAAGGAAGGCACAATGGAAATGGTGAAAAGTAGTATCACACTCAATGAGAGGTAGTTGTAGTTTTTCTGCACATTTGCTCTAAGGAAAGGCTGCTGATAAAGTTAGAAAAACCAGAGGATCCCTGGGTGGCTCAGCGGTTTAGTGCCTGCCTTCCGCCCAGGGCATGATCCTGGAGTCCCAGGATCAAGTCCCTCATCAGGCTCCCGGCATGCAGCCTGCTTCTCCCTCTGCATGTGTCTCTGCCTCTTTCTTACTCTCTCTTCTGTCTCTTATGAATAAATAAATAAAATCTTAAAAAAAAAAAAAAAGAAAAAACACTGAAGGTTTTGAGCTCCTGTTTATTCATTTAAGATAAAGTAAAGCAGGTTATATAAAATTCAGAGGAACAAAGTTAGGATTTCTCTTGCTTGAAACTCAAACATGTGCTAACAATGAGGGAGTAGAAAGGCAGAAAGCCTGAATCTTCGATGACATTCATTTGTTCATCCAGCAAATATTTAGTAAGTATTTACTATATGTCATTTTCTTAATGTGAAATTGTATTTTAGTAAGAGAAGACTGATGATAAACTCTAAATACAATAAACACATAAATTATATACTATGTGAGAAGCTGGCAAAAGTTGTGGAAAAAAGAAAGGATAGAACAGTAGAGCAAATGCAATCAAGTTCATAAGGTATGGTTGGTGGCAATTCAAATAGAATATAATAGGTAGAATGAAGCCAATCATCAGAATAGACTTCATTGAAAAGATACTTGAACATCTAAACTTGAAAGAGATGAGAGAATTAGCCATGCAGATACCTGGGAATAAAAGCTTTCTAGGCAGTGGGAGAGGCCAGTGAAAAAATCTTAAGGGTGGAAAAATGCTAAGGATCTTTGAAGAGCAGCAAAACATCAGTATGGCCTGGAACAAAGTGATCAAGGAGCATACAAGATCAAAGAGTAACAGAGTGAGCAGTGCATGTCATGTAAAGTTCTATAGGCCATTATAAGGACTCTGGCTTTTACTGAGTGAAATGGGGAGAAAGGGACATGATCTGATGTAAAGGGATGACTCTGATTGCTATATTAAAAGAGTAGGAGGCTCAAGGATGGAAACAAAGAGGCCAATTAGGAGCTTACTGCAGTTAATTCCAGTATTTGGACTAGTATTGTAGTGGTGAGAAATGGTTGTATTACAGATATCGGAAAGAAGCAACATGATTTCTGGATGAAATGGATAATCCTAAATACTTCTTGAGAGAGAAGACTAATTAACCTACGCTGTTAGGCCAAGTCAGTCGTGTTTTTGGGTACTTGGAGTGCATAATCCTGATACATTTTAAGATAAGGAAAAGTGTATTTAAGTAAAATAACTTGCCCAAAGTCATAGAATGTATATTGTGTAGTGGATTCTAAATCTTTTTCATGACACTCTATATACTTCTGTCTATATTTGCAGAACTGTATTCTTACCTATGTAACAAATTCAACATGGTCTTAAGGTAAAATGTGAAGCACTCTCACAAAAATCTAGAGAGGGATCTTAGGGACACTCCTCCCAAAAGTAGTTTCAGCTTACTTTAGTGAGAGTGCTCAGGAGAGTATCTTTCTTAACCACTCTCTTTCTCTTCCTGTATTTTAACACCAGATGTTCACCCTTTCATTCAAGACAGTCACCTAGATTTTCTGAGTGGAGCAAACAAATAAATAAATAGTTATCATAGTATATGCAAAGAAAAATACTTCTTGACCCACCAGATTCAACGAGGCTGGGTATCTTACAGATAAGCCTGCCCTAATTTTTAAGAAATGACACAGAAAAAACTCCCTTTATAAAAAGCATTCCAATTCCTCTGCTTCTAGACCTTTATACCGATATTTTCTTTAGTCATAATTTTTAATGCAAAATGAATTTCTCCCTCATATTATTACACTGTTTCTTCTTCTTCTTTTTTTAATCTGCAAAGTCCACTAAGGTAGCATTTAACAAGTAACATTTATCACTAAAAAACCTGTTTTTAAATACCCAGTAGGTCAAGTCTCAGTATTTCCTTACAGCTCTCCTCAATGTTTCATACTGCATGATGTTATAGTAAGTACTACGCAATGCATTCAAGTTGCAAGAAAGGTGAATGTAGAATCAAATTATATGTCCTTGGTACAATAAATCTTCATTAAGTTCCTTATCAAGCATGCCATCTGAAATATTTCAAATTTACTCATAGAAAAATAGGACTTGAAAGGTTTCTCAAAGGGTCATGGTTACACTTTCAGGAAAAACTAAGCAGAATCAAAACAGAACATTATCTACCTTTACTCTTAAAAACATTGTCTATGACCTCTTTCACAACACAAACAATTCTAATGCCTAACCTAAACTTCTCTTGATGCAATTTAAATCCTCTTCCTGAGTAATTGCATTTCTCACAGACATAATCTCATCCTTTAAGTCCTCCCTAATATCAAGTTGCATATTTTTTAGCTTCCTTGCTGTAAATTGTTCAAATCTGACTTTTTTCTGTGGCATTTTCTTAAAATGTAAACACAATTTATAAAACCGAGAAATAAGGTGCTTTAAAAATAGTCTTTAAAAAAATGTGTACCTGAAGATAAATATACTATTACTTAAAATCTGTCCAACCTACCACAACCACTGGTCTTACATCAAAAGAGAAAATAAAGAATAAGCAAATTCAATTAAGATAACAAACAAAATTAAATTAAAAAAAATCCTAAGCAATTAGAACATTTATATGCCTAAGCGATTACCAACTTATGTTCTAAAACTTGGGTTTTAAGATAGTTTCAAATTTGTTTTCTCAATTTTCAGCATAACAAGTAAGGAATAAATGTTGAGATTCTGGGCTTGGGTTCCTCCTATCTGTTCCTCTTTTTGGTCTGCTACATTGAAGACAAGTCTTCAAAACTATAGGAAATGTGTCAAGTATTCTAAAGGAAAGCAGAGCAAATACATCAGACTTTAAGTATACAGTCAACTCAATAAATGACTAATACTACTCTGCACTCATGTCAAAATCAATTATACAAAAATAAAGGACGACTCGCAAACCTAATTTCTCATTGTATTTAATAATGTTCCTAACCAAGTAATAATTCAAAGGAAAAATTACCTTCAGTGAATTATAGCCAAATTATCCAACAAAGAACTTGAATATGGGTAGAATTTCCTAAAACCCTAAACAATACTAAATATTAAAAATCCAAATAATTTTATCAATCCTTTCTTCTCTTTCACAAGTTTCATGGTTATCTTTTTATAAGCTTGCCAGTTCCTTACTTCTCATGCAGATTACAGCTATGATACATAAATTATTTTTTTAAGATTTTATTTTCAGTAATCTCTATACTCAAATGGGGCTCAAACTCACAACCCCAAGATCAAGAGTCACACACGTTACCAAGCCAGCCAGGCAGGCACCCCCATGATACATTAGTTCTATCTTCAGCTAATTGATATCTTTATAGTCGTCTTATAGCATACAAAAATAGGTGTTATCCCATTAGACACATTATATGCTAAATATTGATCCACTACGAGAATTAATAAAAGCAGACCACAGTATTGTATTGTTAAAAAAAGTATTGTTTAATGCATTCCTAGCAAAGAGTCATGAAATGGTACTAATGAAAAAATTAATCATTAAAATACAGGGTGCCATATAATGGAATTAGACTCCTATCACTAAAGTAAAAACATGAGAATAATAAAGCATTGCTGTTTAAAATTACCTTTCAAGAGCTGCTCTCCGTTTTTCTACAAATTCAGTGGATGATGAATCTTCTTTACCCACTTTGACCTTGGTCATGCCTTTGAAAAAAATTAAATGAGATTCATAATTTTATATTACTGTGAATATCTTTTATAGTCATTTCAGCATAACTTAAAACATATTTCAAAAGTTTGAACTTGACCAAAAAAAGGCTCCTAAATTATCACCAGTTATCATACATCTGAGGAATTAAAACTCATGATATACTAACATTTCAACCAGATAAAGTAGAAGCTGAGCTCTGTCTGCAGTTTTCTCACCTCTGTTTGGGTTTCTCATCTGTCTGTGATACACTATACTCTTAGTAAATTAAAATGAGTTTGCATTTCAATATGCATAAAGAGATTCACATTAGCAAATTTAAGCTCAGTTAGTATTTTCATTTCTTATAAACAATACTTAAGGTTCTTCAGTTTGGGGACTAGAAAAATAAGTGTAAGCCATGAATTTGCTAAATACCTCCCCCAATGTAGAGTCGAAGAATGTGTTGTTTATGATAGCTGGTTTTGTTATAGTTGAAACAAGTGCTTTCATAATTTATAAACTAAAAATTGTTAATCATCTCTGTAATGGCAGTTTCAATTTTAATACTCATGTACCAGATTGCAAATTGGTCTTTTTTTCCTTGTTCTTTTTCCTTCAACATCAATTCTGTAGAAATGAAGTACTGACATATCCTATGACATGGATGAACCTTAAAAATATGCTAAGTGAGGGCTGTCTGGGTGGCTCAGTTGGTTAAGCATCTGCCTTTGGCTCAGGTCATGATCTCTGGGTCCTGGGATCAAACCCTGCATCCAGCTCCCTGCTCAACAGGAAATTTGCTTCTCCCTCTCCTTCTGCCCCTCCCTCGTGCTCGTTCTCTTTTTCTCTCAAATAAAATCTTAAAAAAAAAAAAAGTATGCTAAGTGAAAGAAGTTTGTCACAAAGGCCCACTCATTATCTAATTCTCTTTATATAAAATGTACAGAATAGGCACATCTACAGATAAAGAAAGTAAATTAGTGACTGCATAGGGCTGGGAGTTAAGGGAAATTAGAGGATGATAGCTAAGGGGTAATAAAAAATATTCTAAAAGTGATTGTGGTGGTGTGAACACAATTTTGAATATACTAAAAGGCTTAAATATTACATTGAAATTGATATGCTTTATATTTAAGTAAGCTCTAAACTCAATATGGGGCTTGAACTCACCATCCTGAGATTAAGAGTTGCATGCTCTGAAACAGAGGCAACCAGACGTCCTGAATTATATTCACTTTAAATGGATAAATTACATGACATGTGGATTATATCGACAAAGCCATTAGAAACAGGACTATGTAAAACCATGTAATTCTTATTCAGGCTGGTACATGTGGTAAATAAACATTGCACCTATGAATGTTTTGTTTAACGTAATTTTTTTTTTTTTAATTTATGATAGTCACAGAGAGAGAGAGGCAGAGACACAGGCAGAGGGAGAAGCAGGCTCCATGCACCGGGAGCCCGACGTGGGATTCGATCCCGGGTCTCCGGGATCGCGTCCTGGGCCAAAGGGAGGCGCCAAACCGCTGCGCCACCCAGGGATCCCTGAAATACAAGTTTGAAAAAGAAAACTCAAACACCTAAAATTATCTACCCTGAATGGACTACTAGAAGTGGAATGTTAATTAGTTCACATATTGTTTCCCTGAAAATATCTTACCACTATGCAGTTCTTTGCATTTTTCTCTTTAAGGATCTTCTGCTCATTCTACTTCCTAGAGGTAACCAATACAGGCCCAAGCAGCAAATAAAAAACACTCTAATCCCTTAGCTCTTAAAACTTCGCAACTTAGTTGTTACTCTTTTCTAAAAGCTTAGTGAAATGTTGCTTTTTATTTATTAATGAGAGAGAGAGAGAGAGAGAGAGAGAGAGAGACAAGCAGAGGGAGAAGCAGGCTCCATGTGGGGAGCCAGGGACTCGATCTGGGGTCTCCAGGATCAGGCCCTGGGCTGAAGGCGGCGCTAAACCGCTGAGCCACCAGGGCTGCCCTAAAATGTTTTTAAGTTAACTAATCTTATAAAGGGGTAACAATTGTGGACTAATGAAAAGACTTCTCTTCCTTCAGGGCAGTTCCAACTTTTCAGCAAAGACGACAAGTTACTATTCCTTTTCTGCTACCCCACATTAAGCATTTATCACTTGAAAACTACTGCCTATGTAATTAATAAGGTCTCCCATATTTCAACAATTTCTTAGCCTATTCATTTTTCTTTTAAAAAAAACTGATGGACAGTACGAAAAAATGACAGCTTCTCTATTTGGTTGGCTTTCAGGTGGTTCACAGATCAATTTGTTACCCACTTTTAGTAACTGTTCAGACTTTATGCATATATTCTGAAGAAACTGTTTCACTTGGTTTCACCTTACTATTTCACTATGTTTATTTTCCCAATAATTTTATTTTGATCTTAAAAAAAAACTGCATTACATGTAGTTGCCTCAAGTCCTTTCTAGAATAAAGCAGTATATAAATAATCTTAAAACAACTCAATCCACCTTAAATGTACATTAGATAAGTTTACAATAACGTAGCATTAGATTATTTTTAAAATTGGAAAGTTTTCTATTTTGAATACAAAATAAAAACAAACCATAACCGTATTTTTAAAATCATACCAAAATTAGCAGACCAGAATAGTGATTAAAAGTGTAAGTTCTAGAGTAAGATGGCCTGCAAAGCCCAGCTCTGACTCTTACGAGCTGTATGGCGTGGGCTACGTTCTGTAACCTTGATGAACCTTAGCTTCCTTACCTATTAAATAAGGAAAACAATAAGCTAACATCATAAAGCTAATGTGAGGATTAAATGAGAGAATGCACATAAATTATTTAGTATAGTACACTCTAAATAAATGTTAATTATCTCTATAATTTAATGGAATAGTCTTACAATGTAAAGGGCAATCTATCTTGGTCATGTATATAGATAATGCAAACAAAACCATGTGACTGTCCCCTAAAAACCCTTTGAAGGGTTTTTTTTTTTTTTGAAGGGTTTTTTTTTTGAAGGATGTGAGGATCAGTATCAGAAAACGGTGCTCTTAGGATTTAGTTTCTCATTTCTACTTTAAATTTACACATGCTATTTATTATACTGTAATAATCTGTGGAAGGTTGAAGATAATTAAGGCAAAATATTAGCCTGAAATATAATAAACTTGGGCATTAAAATTTACTTTTTTCAATTTTGAGGGGGGACACTCACTATTTAAGAACTAGATTAGCATGTTAGTTATCAAAATGAGAAAAATATTTTTTTTCCTCTGATACATAAAAAGAGCTGCACAAATAAAGTTAAAGAAAAAAAAAAGTAATAATTTGTGATGTGTGAGTTCCCTACACAGATAGTATGATGCCAAAAGATACCAAAGCAAACGTCTAGAGGTAAGAGAAATAAGATTATTAACTAGGTTAGCAGCTAGCTTTTTCAAAGTATGGTCAGAATACCAGAAAGATTTCCGATACCCTTTTTGTACAAGTGTGGGGAAGTGTGCACCAAAGGCTACTTTCAGAATAATACTAAACTACTGTCTTTTTTACTCTTACTCTTTCATGAGAGCTCAGTGGAGTCTAACAAAGGTTATGTGGTATGTTATATCACAAGAGACAGGATGCAGAAACACACATGAGAACATCGCTATTTTGTACTAAGCTAGAAGTTAGGGATTTGGAAAACTATAAAAACAAAAACAAAAAGGAAGCCACCATTATCACTAAACATTTTGTCTTACAAATACTGAGTTTATTGGCATTTCAATTTTTAAAGTTTATTTTTACATTTAATTTCATTAATTTTTTTTTTAAGGAAACTCTATGCTCAGTGTGGGGCTTGAGCCACAACCCCAAGATCAAATCACAAGTCACCAACTAAAGCAGCCAGGCACCCCTAAAAATTTTTTTATGATTAAAAAAAAACACAGAGTATATAATAAATGCATTTAAATATATCAGGTTTCAAAATTATTAAAGATACTATTAGGTGCTTTTCAAACAAAATGTCTAAAAACAGTAAAAGAAAAAATTTAAAGAGTAGCAGAATTCATTTTTATATTTTCTGAATAATCTTACATATAAAGAAAAATAAAGTATGGTAAATAACTCAACAAATGGGGAAAAACTAGAAAAATTTAAGAGAGGACAGATGTCTTTTAATGGGACAATGAAAGTTATCCTCTTTTGTAATTTTTTGTGTATTCTCTTTAAACATTTTAAAATATTTATTTTCTTTATTTTAGGGAGAGAGAGCATACACACATGCACAAGCTGGAGGTGGGGCAGGAGAGGGGGAGAGAGAATCTCATGCAGACGTCCCGCTGAGCAGGGAGCCTGACTACAGGCTCTATCTCATGATTGGGAGATCATGACCTGAGTTGAAATCGAGTTAGATCCCTAAACAACTGAACCACCCAGGCACTTCCCTCATCCCTTTCTAAAGTAAGCTCTACACACAGTATGGGGCTTGAATTCATGATCCTGAGATCAAGAGTCACATGCTCTATCAATTGAGCCAACCAGATGCTCCCTTCTGCATATTCTTAACTTTATTACTTGTACAGGTAGAATTTTTATTTTAGAGATTTTATTTTTAAGCAATCAAGCTCTACATCCAATGTGGGCTCCAATTTACAACCCCGAGATCAAGAGTTGCATGCTCAGGCATCTCATAGGTAGAAATGTTTTTAAACATTAAATTGAGGTATGAAATATACTAACATGATAGGTCTTATAAAATCTAGACTGGATGGAATCTTTTTTGGGACAATGAATAGCTGAAAGCCAAATACCTCCATCCCTTAGAAACAGGTTAATATGTACTAACATAAAATATCTTTTGAGTGTTTCTCAGTAACATGACCCTTTCACAACTGCTCTCAACTCGGCAAATCCTGATCTAGTATTTAACATTATATTATATAAATCAAATCTTAAATTGATCCTATATAAATCAAAGTTCTAAGATGTTAGAAAATAAAACTATTAGCTTATACATTCCTTAGTTGATGAGTGATTATCATAAAGGGAATATTTATTAAATTCAGTATTGCTAGACATTATGAGTTATCATGATAATGATCATGGTATCCTAATCTGTATAGTTAAAACTGAGCTAGAAACAGGAACAAATTTTAAAAAAAAATTATTCATACTTACCTACTATACTCTTTTCTGGAGCTGGTGGCACAATATAACCAACATGTAAATACTTGCTTGCTAACTTGCTATGCAAACCAAGAAAGTCACTGAATCTTCTTTTCACTGAAAATTCACTCTTACTGAACATGGAAAGAGAAGTCTACAAGTAAAGAAGAGGCATTTCAAATTCTGAATACTAAGCAATATTTTAGAAGTTAGTATCACATATTACCATGAACATATACACATATATACACACATATACACATTGGTTTATTTTGCAAAAGAACGCACAGGAGCTAACTAATGTGGTAGACACATTTCTGATAAAAAAAAATCTATATTACACATTTTTGTTTTGTTTTTATAGAAACTTAAAAGGACAAAACGTTTCCTTGACGCAACTCATCAACTCTAATTGCATTTATGTTAATGACTTAAATCTTTACTTCTGGCCCAGATGTCCTCTGAGCTTCAGTCTAATATATCAAAATGTCCAAGGGATACTTCTACTTAAATCTTGCTGCCACCTCAAATTCACCCAATCTCTTGCTGAAACATAATCTCCATGTGGAAAGGGCATTTGTCTATATTGTTTCCTAATAAACCTTCTTGCTTGGAACAGAGCTGGACCCCATGTTAAGTGTTTAATAAAAAATATGTTCAATGAAATAACAAATCTCATGCCAATCCAAACTGTGTTGCTTTTTCACCAAGCTCACTCTGATAACCGTGGAGATACTCTAGCCAGTAACTTAGGCATCTCTCCTTCACTCCTTACATTCAAGCTCTACTTTCTACCTCCTACACAATTCAAGAAGCCATTATTTTGGCTTCAGGATCAATTACTGAGTAAAAAATATTACTTCTCGCAGACAGGATTGCTACAGATCCTCTCCCACTTTAAGATCTAAGGCCTACAACCCTTTAGGAATTCTGATGGAATTAACCGGAAATCCTGACCTCTACTTTGCACTCCCAACTTAATAGAGAGATCTTTCTAAAACAAAAATCTAATTGTGTTACACTCTTGCTTGATCTCTTCAAATGCTCTCCATTATACCATTATACTCAGGATAAAGCCCAAATTCTTTAATGTGGCTGTTCATAACATAGGGAGGCTACCACCAAACAATTTTAAGTAGGCACCACTTTCTGCAGATCCTGGAAAGCACAATGCTTTCTTGACTCCTGGCCATTACAAAAGCAAACCCCTTTGCCTGGAACGAGCAATCTTCTCCTTTCTCTGTGTCTCCAACCCCCCCGTGTCACTTTCTCCTACCTTTGTCTATATTAAGTCCTTTCCTGCATACTCTCACAGAATATTTTACTTATACTTTGGAGAACATTACATTTAGAAAATGCTCTTAACTCAATGTAACTGCTTATTTGAAATCTTCAATGAATAGTAAGTAACCTTTGTAAAGACAGGAAATCCTTATACTTTATTTGCGGTTATAAACTCATACTACACATGGTGAGGGCTCACTATGTTTTTAAAGGAGCAAAGGCTCACCTTTGTTGTTACTCTATATGCCATGTAAGCATTCATGCCATCACCTATAAGAAAAGTCAAACAGTACTATTAAAAATAAGCTTAGCCACACACACAAAAGGTAACTGTGAAGTAATATGCTGACCGACTTGATCGTGATAAACAATTCATAATGTGCACATATCTTAAAAATAAAGGTACCATTTTAACATTTAACACTGTACTTAATAAAGAAAAACAGCATATTAATAACCAAGGTACTTATCACAAAGAAGCAAATTTAAAATATTGTAAATACTGACTCACCAACTTTCTCTGGATCTGATACACCAATTTCTATATCAAAAACATCTCCATTTGCTTCTTCTTCAATCTAGAAAAGACAATTCTTTTCATCTTTAGACTCCAAATTACATCACTGTTATAACACTAATAACTTCAATTTTTACCATCTTTTATTAGGGTTGTTGTCATAATAATTTAAAAAGCCACTCAGCACTCTGTTTCTGAAAAACAATAAAAGCTTTCATATTTCCTTGACTTTATTTATTTATTTAGATTTTATGTATTTATTCATGAGAGAGAGAGAGAGAGAGAGAGAGAGAGAGAGAGAGAGAGGGAGGCAGAGACACAGGAAGAGGGAGAAGCAGGCTCCATGCAGGAAGCCTGACGTGGGACTCGATCCCAGGTCTCCAGGATTACGCCCTGGGCCAAAGGCGGTGCTAAACCGCTGAGTCACCTGGGCTGCCCTCCTTGACAATATTTAAACACACACACACAGACAAAAGGAAAAGGATCATCTGGAGAAGTTACAGAAAATCTTGTGTTCTCACAACTCCTCAGATTTGGTTTTCTGTAGGAATACTGTGGAATTGTTGTTGTTCTCTAAACTGAGTCTTCAGACTCAGATAATTAAATACTGATACCTTAATTATTTTTTAATATGAGCACTTTTCAAAGTTGTATCTCTACTCTTTTCAACAGGAGGTAGCCATTACTTTTGCCAATAGAATCCTCCATATCTGTAAAAATAACCATACTTAGAATATCATGATTTCTCTGATAAGCTAGGAAACACATGCTCTTCTTGAAACCCATGAGAGCACTATAAAGCACACTAAGTAGGAAAAATGATTAGCTTGTAAGACTGCAAAGAAGCACTTTTTAATGCCTTTATAAATAAGCAATCCTAGGAGCAGCTCTGCAGGAAAGTCTTGTTACTCTCAAGAAAAGAACACAGAAATTGTTAAATCTTTAAACTATTTTAGAGTAATATTAATAGCTCAAGATTATCTAAAAGAAGTTTTTCTAACCATAATCTTTTTTTCTCCAAAGCTGCCCTCTTGTACAGATTTTTAAGAAACTAAACCTTATTTGAACTATAACATAAACTAAGTAAATCCTAAGCATACAGCTCAGTAACTTTCACAAACACAATCATTATTCACAGGAAAGCCCTCTTGTGCTTCCTCTCCATTTACAACCCATCCTGTACCCTGCCAACATAACCACTAATATATTTACTGCATGATTCATCAAATAAAATTACTCAAAATGTCACTTAATTAAAGTTTTCAAAGAACTTTCATACATTTTTCTCACTAACACAGAAACGCTGAGAGTCATAAATAAACATCATGAGATCATAAATGATAAAATCTTTGACTTAAAAGGAAAGTAATGTGCCCAAGTCACTGGGTTAAAATGTGATAAAGATAAAATTAGAAGCCAAATCAGCTGACTTCTTTAGTCCAATACCTTTCCCTAGTCCAAAGTATCCAAAGGCTTTGATTAGAGATGACTAACAGGAGAGTGATTCTGTGGGGGAACAAAAAGCTTACTATTTACATATTAACTTAAGAGTACAAACATTTTCCCATACCTCCTCCCTGGATCTATCGAAGATCACAGGAGCAGACATACTCTTTGATTCAATTCTGGGAGCAATGAGTGTAGTAGGGGTCACAGGTGTGACTGCAGGAGAAGGTTCTGAAGAAAGGATAGGTTCCCTTTCTGGACTATCCAGAGAAACTTCTTCTGTGGCTTCTAGATACAGATTAAACAAGTTAGTTAAGGATACTGATAACAAACTTCAATAGCCTCTATAGCAGTTAACGAATTATAAAAAATACTTTTATAATACCCACCAAAAAATCAAAATAATGTTACTTAAAAATCGTTGTTATAGTTTAATGAATCCTTCCTTAGTTGTTTATCAATACTTTAAAATCAACAGTTTGTTGATTTTAGGAAGAATTACAGTAAGTCAGCTTAATTATCTATACTAGTGGTAGGGATAAAGCTAGTAGAAAATCAATGATGTGGATAATTCCACATTCATTTGTGCTGGGTTTGTAATATATCTTATGCTTGGGGTAACTTACCTTTCAGTATCTTTTATTCAGGCTAACATTATGATTATTTTATACATACAAACAAATTTTATGACAACAGGCGGCCCAGAACTATCCCAGTTGGGATTAAAAATCTGTTATGGAAAATCCACAAAGTTAGTAATCTAAAGCAATTAACTGCTAAAGATTACTGAGTATTAGTTGAATACATAAACATGACGCGAAGCAAACAGCTGTTTAGGTTTTAATTTAAAATGCTCATCCACTTGAAAAATCTAAAATTAAACATATTTAAAACCAGATCAAATCAATAAACTGTCTACAAGCTATTTAACATTGTGCTAAATGCAATGGAGAAACACAAAGAAATGTAAAATATCATACCTGCCCTCAGGGAGTTTATAATCTAATTGGGAAAACAAGACACAAGGATGTGGAATGTTAAATAATAATAAAAGACAAATAATAGCCAAGAGAACAATAAAAAGAATGTTATAAGACATTTAACTGCTATATGAACTACAAAACAAACTACCATTTGAGATGGGAGACTACTTCAGGCTGGGGATATCTGCAATACTTTATGAAACTGATTTGAGAGGATATGGATGGGTAGAGAAAAAATGGAGGAAGAATTCTAGGAAAACAAAACAATAGCACAAACAAAAAGCAAAATCAGAAAAATGAAAATTACAGTCAATGTCCATAATGAAAACCACGGTTCTGTGGGATTATAGAACTGTTAACAGGAAAAGAAAGGCAGGGCTATAAGGGAAACAGAATCAGACCAGTGGTTTCTAACCTGAGATTCTTAGATTCCCAGAGGTTTGGGAAGGTAGTAATGGCAGTCAGTGATCCATTTTAATACCTCAAAAAGTATAGCAGTAACAACATATTTACCCGAAATAAGGTAAATAATGTTAACATTTACATTAAATGTAAACAGGGTAAACAGGTCAGCATTTCATTAGTCTATTCTTACTGGTTTTCTCGTATCAATGAGATCCTTACTTGACATAACTCTTTACATTTTTATATTAAACCAGAATTTTTTTCAACTGTGGTAACCAGAGAAGGAAAATAGACGACAGATGTAAAATAGACAGACAACAAATGACCTCAATATAAAAAATTAAAAGCTTTCTGGCTATTAAGACTGCTAATATTTATTTGTTTTTTAAAGAAATGAAACCAATGAACAACATAAGAAAATAAGAAAGCAGTGAATCAAAGCTAGAAAGTGTGAGATTATCTACAAACAGGCAAAACAACAAGCAGCAAATAAAATCTAAAATACTCGAGAAGAGGTACTGCTATTGGCAACACATCCAGAGAGACAAAAGGCTAAAGGCATATTAACTTTATTGATCTATCAGGACAGATATGGTAACTTTAGGTTTCCTATCACAATGTACTCAATAATAGCAGATTTTGTGTTCTTTGCAAAGACAAGTTGTTTCATAAATAATATGAAACCTCTATATAAGAAAAGCTAAATATGAACTAAGTGGCTAATCTGAAGGAGGAAAATGAAAATAAATGGGTAGAGATTTAGATTTAGCATACTAAAAATATACAGTCTGCCTTAAAGTCTTCTCATGACTTTTAGCTAATACTACAAATTCACAAGTCTTAATTTAAACCAGACCTAAAGGTCCAGGAGATGCCTCAGACATTTTAAGTACAAAGATGAACTTTTCCTGGGAAGAGATAATATATGGACAAGTATAAATCAATTATGTCAATGCCAGGGAAGAAATATTTCACTCATACTGTAGATACTAGAGAATTTTTTAAACAAAGGAATATTCATGAAACTTACAATTTGTTTTTTTTTTTTTGAAACTTACAATTTGTATTATTTGCTGAAATATTTAAGTGAAATAAGCTAAGGACCCTGGCAGAAATAAGATTTAAATGTCCAAGACAATTTCCAACTTTAGCAATTTGCTTACCCTCACTTATTCCTCTATGATAGCTTGATGTTCAGCAAAGCTTAGTGAGAAGGATCTAACAAATGGTGGAGGGGCTCTGTAGTCAACCATATTTGGTGAATGCACTCCAAGTAAACTAGTAACAGGAACATGTCACACTCCAACTCTTTCTGGTACCATGTTAGACAAAACAGTACCTGAAATGCTACCCAAAATGTATCAATACTAATCTCTTCATAGTTTTAAAATCAAAATGGCTAGATCCCTAGAGAATTACTGATACTCTTTTCTCTAATATAGAAGAACATGTTCCTATTGCTTGACAACAGTCTTCATCATCCTGAAAACATATGCTGCTCTTTATTATGGTTTCCAATCATATTCCTCCATAAAAGAAGGAATGATACACCAGTTTAAAAGCATTCAAATAAGATGCAAGTGTACTATTAATGCATTCACATAAAAATGATCAAATTAGGTCTTAGAATATCTAATGATATCATTTTTTAAAATTTTATTTATTTATTCATGAGACACACAGAGAGAGAGAGAGACAGAAACACAGGCAGAGGGAGAAGCAGGCTCCACGCAGGGAGCCCGACATGGGACTCGATCCCAGGTCTCCAGGATCACACCCTGGGCTGAAGGCAGGGCTAAACTGCTGAGCCACCTGGGCTGCCCTAATGATATCATTTTGAAATGCAGCTGAGTTTAAGATAAAAGATGAACCATAAAGGGTGCCTGGGTCGCTCAGTCAGTTAAGTATCCGACTCCTGATTTCAGCTCAGGTCATCATCTCAGGATAAGATCAACCCCCCCACACACACACCGCTGGAGTTTCTATGTTTGAAACAGAAACAGATGACTATATTTAGTCCCCGTCTCTCTCTCTTTTATGTTTTTTAAAGACTTCATTTGACAGAGAGAGCACCAAGTACGAGTGGGAGGAAGGGCAGAGGGAGAGGGAGAAAATCTTTAAGCAGATTCCCCGTGAGTGGGGAACACAATACGGGGCTTGATCTCATGACCCTGAGATCAAGACCTGAGTTGAAACCAAGAGTTAGACATTTAACCAACTAAGTCACCAATGTGCACCCTCTCTCTCTTTTTCTAACAAATAACAGCAGTGACAATAATTGAATGACAATATTTAGTACAGATGCTAGGTAAATATGAGTAAGATTTTTCTCATCAAGCCAAGTAAGCAAATATTGTATAGTCCTCACTTGGCAAATCAATTAGTGTGCATACTGATAAAAAAATACAAAAAAAATTAAAAAAAAAAACAAAAAACCTTCACATAGTTCTGTTGTTAGTTTCTGCATACTCCTTCTGTATGAATTCTGAGACTTCACAAGGTGAAAAGCTCTTTTATAAAAAGAATAATCTGAAACTTCTATGTATAACTCTATACATACACACAATTTTAGATTGGTATCCATTACTCAGGAGAGAAAGGACTTATATCATTTTCTAGTTTAACACATAAATGCCATAAAAAAACTTTTAAGAGCTGACTGTGGAAAAGTCCATAAAAGGAAACAAAAAGGATTGTTATAACTTTGGTTTATTCGAAGCTGTTAGGTAGCAAATAAATAAATAAGTAAGTAAGTAAGTAAGTAAGAAACATTATTGGTATTTATTAGTATGGTATTTTAAATTCTGACATGATAAAATACATGAATTCATCTGTAATAAAAACTTCATAAAACTGATCAAACAGGAACTTGTAAGGACCTATGTGATAGAGAAGCGTATCTTCAAACAAAAAATATTTATACAAAAAATACAGAATGGTTCAAATATGCAACTACTATAAAACCTGAGGACACAATATTAAATTTTAACTCAATGAAAACCAGTTGAGGTGAATTAACAAAGATTTACTACTTTAATTTTCTGTGTCATTAATTCTAAAAAAAGATTTGCCTTTCAATATCCAAACATTAACTTTTATCTAAATTTAATGTTAAAACAGATGTAACTGTTTTGAAAAAAATTCATTATTTTAAAGGTAGGACTATACCAAATCCTGCCCTGTAAAACAAATTTCTCAACCATCAATTTACTCACCCAGAAGTGAATCAAAATACAACAGGTGGTAAATACTGAAGTATTTTATTAAAACAGAAAGATTTTAAATGATTTTAAAATCCCGAGTTAATTTTGCTGTGACAACCTGTAAGTAACAAAGATTTTAAACGCTGATATTTTCCAAAGTATGAATGCCACAACCATTAGTTTTTTGAGTGTAAGTACTGATCAAAACATCAAATTATAATATGTGATTTATTTTCAAATGCTTAAAACCAGAAAGGATCATGGTTTGCTTCTCTCAACAATCTATATTTTTCACAAAGTGATCTAATTGGAGATTTCCTATCAAGTTGTTAACAAGAAGAACTACCACTAATACCTTACACAAAATTTCACTTTTGCTTTAGAGAATATCTTATAACTGGATATATACTACAGTGGACTATTACTAAAAAAAGATATTTATAATTACCTGCAAAAAGATCTTCTCTGTCATCATCTAGCACCACCTCTGCAGGTTTGGGACCATTGGAGTTTGTACTAACATCTTCTGCAGGAAGACTAGCTGGTTCCGGAGATGATGGACTTGACTGTTAAAAATACCAATATTAGATAAAGGATTATCATGTTTAATTATGACTCTACACATCATAGAAATAGAACATTCTCTTGATAGAAAGGGAATAAAGAACAAGGATAGCTATTTATAGCTACTTTAAGGGAAGAATAAACCAAAACCACATTTTTATTCACTTTCCTTCTTAACGAAAGTCACTTAAGATTTAAAAAAATCTTTTCCAGTCATCCCTTTAGATATACTAACTTGTCTTGTTGAGTTATAATTAACAAAGATTTAGTGTTTTACAGCCATATATAGTAACACTGTTCAAGTATTCCTTTACTGTAAAAGTTTAATACTATTTGAATTAAAATTACTATTATTCTAAAATTGCTATGGTTTAAAACTAAAAATATGCCTTCTTCCCAAACATTGTATTTCAACTGAACTTAGGGACTGTTTTTGCACTTCTTAATTTTAAAGTATAACGACCAACATAATAGAAGCTACACTGTGAAGCTTTTAGCTTTATTACAGGTTTTCGTATAATAGTTAAAACCAATACTCTTTTTTTAAAAAAAGACATAAAAATGAATGTGTGTATGTCAAAGGCATACAGCTAGGTATTTTCGCAAACCAAACAGACCTGTGTAACCAGCACCCAGATCTAGAAAGAGAACATATCAGCATGGATTAGTTTTCCCTGTTTTTGTTCTTCATAAAAGTGGAATCATACAGAATATTCTTTTGTTTTTGTTCTTAATGTTATGTTTAAGACACATCCATACTGTTGTTTTTTTTTAAAGTTTTTTTTTTTAAATTTTTTATTTATTTATGATAGTCATACAGAGAGAGAGGGGTAGAGACACAGGCAGAGGGAGAAGCAGGCTCCATGCACCAGGAGCCTGATGTGGGATTCAATCCCGGGTCTCCAGGATCATGCCCTGGGCCAAAGGCAGGCGCCAAACCACTGCGCCACCCAGGGATCCCCCATACTGTTGTTATAGTAATAAATTACACATTCTTGTTGCTGCAAAATATTCCATTTTAAATATACCTCAATCAATTCATTCTATTACTGATGGACATATGGGTAGTTATCAGTTTTGTGCCACTATCAATAATGTGGTATAAACTTCCTAATACATGTGTCTTTTAGTAAACATGTGAATAAATTTGTGTTTGGTATATATGAGTAGAACAGCTAAATGACAGGGTAGGTGAATATTCTGCTTTAGAAATATAAAGTGGCTGCATATTTTGTGAAAACATCAATTGCTCCACAACCTTGTCAACATTTTGATATATTTTATCTTTTTCATTTTAGCTATTATGGTGGTATAAAGTGTATCTTATCGTGTTTGGATTTGCATTTCCCTGATGAACAATGATGCTCAGCAATTTTTCATGTTAAATGGCCTTTGAATATCCTCTTTGAAAAGGTTTAATTCATTTACAGAGAGAGAGCATGCATGCATAGGGTGGAGGGGCTGAGGAAGAGAGTATAATTATGAATATGCCTAAAAACTGGCCCCAAGTTTATCAATTACATTACCTACAATACTGAAGAATTTGAAATAACCTAAAGCATATCTACATAAAAAATGTAGCACAGTAATCTTAACAAACTAAAAATACAGGGGAACTTTATCAATTTGAGAAAAAATAGCTACAAAAACCCTACATCAACATTTTTTTTAAAGTAAGCTCCACAACCAATGTGGGGCTTGAGCTCACAACAGTAAGATCAAGAGTTACATGCTCTACCCAATGAGGCAGCCAGGCACCTCCTACATCAAACTCAATGGTGGGAAACTAGAAGCTTTCTCACTAAGAACAGGAACAAAACAAAGATGTTAACTCTTACCACTACTTTTCAACATTGTACTGGAAGTTCTAGCTAATGCAATAAGACAAGGAAAGGAAATAAAAGGCATAAAAATTGGGAAGGAAAAAATAAAACTGCCTTTGTTAACAGATGACATCAGTGTCTAAGTAGAAAATCCAAACAAAAAAGCCTCCCAGAACTAATATGCACTTACAGCAAAGCTGCAGCATATAAGATTAACATGCAGAACTTAAGTCACTTTCTTACATAGCATCACTGAAAAATAGAATTTGAAGTTAAAAACAGTAACATTCCCCCAAAAATGAAATACTTAGGTATACTCTCATAAAACATGTATAAGATATATATGGGGAAAACTCTGAAACTCTGATGAATGAAATAAAAGACCCAATAAATGGAGAGATGTTCATGTTCATGAGTAGGAAGGCTAAATACTTTCAAGATGCCAATTCTTCCCAACTTGATATAGAGATTCAATTTAATCTCAATCAAAATTGGAGAAAGTTATTTTGTGGATATCAATAAAATAATCCTAAACTTTATAGAGAGAGGCAAAAAACCCAGAATAGCCAAAAGAACACTGAATGAAAAGAACAAAATTGGAGGACTAAAGCCACTTGACTTCAATCTTATAATAATCAATACATAATGTGGTATTGGTGGAAGAATAGAAGAATGGAAGAGAAAAGCCTCAAAATATATAAATATAATCAACTGATCTTTGAAGAATGAACAAAGAAGAGAATAGGGAAAAAACAGTCTCTTCAGCAAATAGTGTTGGCTTAACTAAACATTCACATGCAAAATATGAATCTGCAGAGACCTTACACCCTTCACGAAAATCAACTCAAAATGGATTACATACCTAAATGTAAAGCACAAAAGTGTAAAATTCCTAGAAACAGGAGAAAATCTTGATGACTCTGGATTTGGCAGTGAGTTTTCAGATACAATAACAAATGCACGCTCCATTAAAGAATTGATAAACTTGGGCAGCCCGGGTGGCTCAGCAGTTTAGCGCTGCCTTTGGCCCAGGGTGTGATCCCAGAGACCCAGGATCCGGTCCCACGTCGGGCTCCCTGCATGGAGCCTGCTTCTGCCTGTGTCTGTGCCTCTCTCTCTGTGTGTCTCTCATGAATAAATAAATAATCTTAAAAAAAAATTGATAACTTCATTAAAATTAAAACTTTCTGTGAAAAATACTGTCAAGAGGGATCCCTGGGTGGCGCAGCGGTTTAGCGCCTGCCTTTGGCCCAGGGCGCGATCCTGGAGACCCGGGATTGAATCCCACATCGGGCTCCCGGTGCATGGAGCCTGCTTCCTCCCTCTGCCTATGTCTCTGCCTCTCTCTCTCTCTCTGTGACTATCATAAATAAATAAAATTTTTTTTTAAAAAAAAGAAAAATACTGTCAAGAGAATAAAAAAAAAGCCACAGTTTGGGAGAAAAATGAAAAGATGCCCCACACCATATATAGAGAAATGCAAATTAAAATAACAATGAGATAACACTATACCTCATGAAGGTGTATCTAATAGGTGTATACCTATTAGAATGGTCAAAAATCTTTAACTCTGACAACACCAAATGCTGGCAAAAGGAACTCTCATTCACTTCTGGTGAGAATGCAAAATGGTACAGTTAATTTGGAAAACAGTTTGGGAGTTTAAGACTAAACATATTCTTGGGGCACCTGGGTGATTCAGTGGTTAAGTATCTGCCTCTGGCACAGGTCGTGATCCTGGGGTCCTGGGGTCGAATCCCACATTGGGCTCCCTACAGGGAGCCTGCTTCTCCCTCTACCTGTGTCTTTTCCTCTCTCTGTGTATCTCTCATGAATAAATAAATAAAATCTTAAGGAAAAAAAACACTAAACATATTTACCATATAGTTCAGCAATCACTCTCTTTAGTACTTATCCAGAAGAGCTGAAAACTTATGTACACACAAAAACCAGTACATGATGTTTACAGCAGCTATATTCATAACTACCAAAACGTGGAAACAACCAAGATGTCCCTTAGTAGGTTAATAAGTAAACTGGTGCTTCCAGTCAATGGAATGTTATTCAGCACTAAAAGGAAATGAGCTATCTAGTGATGAAAAGATACAGGGAAAACTCAAATGCATATTAGTAAGTGAAAGAATCCAGTACAAAAAGATTACTGGGATGCATTCATCTGCCTTCAGCTCAGGTTGTGAACCTGGGGTCCAGGGATCAAATCCTGCATCAGGCTCCCTGCAAGGAGCCTGCTTCTCCCTCTGCCTATGTCTCTGCCTCTGTGTGTCTCTCATAAGTAAATAAAATTTTTAAAAAGATTACTTATCGCATGATTCCAACTATATGATAATCTGGAAAGTGCAAAACTATAAAGATGGTAAAAAGATCAGTACACTGGAAGGGAAGGAGGGATGAAGAGGTGGAAACACATGATTTCTGGACAGTGAAACGACTCTGTGTGATATTAGGGTGGATATACATCACGTCCTTACACACCTGTCCAAACCCACAGCATGCAAAACTATAAACTATAAAATTTGGTGATTACAATGTGTCAATGTAGATTCATCAATCATAACAAATGTACCATACCACTTCTGTGGACGAAGTTGACAATGATGGATAACGCATATATAGGGGCAACATATGGGAAATCTCTGTACCTTCACTCAACTTTGCTGTAAGCTTAATACTGTTCTAAAAAATAAGTCTATTAAAAAAATAATAAAGCAGAGTAGCACAGTAAAAGGCTTATGTCATTATATGGAAAAAGTGGGTACCTACACACGATTCAACTTTCTGCTAATATTCATTAAAACTAAGATATATACTTATATTGAATAAGACATAAGCACTAAGGTCTTATATACAACTTGTTCACTAAACTAGAGCAGTCAGTCACTTACTAAAAGCTGTAGGAACTTGTCTTTGTTCCTACCTCCCCATGGCTCTTTTGGTTTCCTAGTAAGTGCCAAGAGGTGTGCAATGAGGAAGTCATGGAAGGGAACAACGATGACTTAATTGCCTAGAGCACAAGTTCTGGGTGATCAGAACTAGTTCTCCAATATATGCAACTGTAGACACATCAGCATTTTTAATAAATGTGTATTTGCCCCCCTACATCATCACCTAGTAGTGTGCTGGAAATTATCCTTATAAAAAGTTCCAAGGTTGTTGTGAAT